TCACCAGGGTTGATCCACCTTCCCAAATGAGTGAAGTGGTCAACATCCTCAACCACTTTATTCCCTGGTTGGACAAGACACCAATGAAAATTAGTCCTGGAGCAGCAATTTACATATAGGCGGTAAGAAACACATCACCGACATTCTCAAATTGCTCATTAAGGTGTCGAAAAGACTTTGCATCTTGTCAGCGTCTTCATCTGTGTATTTTAGGTCGATGAAAGATTCTCCTGTGATAAGATGAATTCTTGTGAAGTCAGATGATGACAGCGAGATATCCATGAGTACATCTTTGACAAAACTAAGCAGGAATGGAGACAGTAGTCATCCTTGGAGGACACCATTTAGTGTACACAACTCACCATATGTTTTGATGCTCCTACGAGTAATCAATATAAAGCCTTCAACGGGGTGATATACTTATCCAACACTCCTTTCAGTGAGAGACATTACCGTGAAACCTTCCGGTCGACCGAGTCGAATACTGCCTTCACGTCATGAAGTACAACTCATACCAAGTGCCAGTGTGCTTATGTTCCAGAATCTGTCGAAGTGTGAATGTCTGATCGATTCACTTACGGCTAGGTCTGAAAACTGCCTAGTTTTCTCGAGCTCCATTTAGACGTCTGATAATTAGGAAACTAATAGTCTTGGACACTATGTTTGCCAGACTGATTTAGCTGTGATTATCACCAAAGACCTTCCCAGTTTTTCTTGAAGACTGGGGCAATCGGTGATTGAGACCAGCTTGAGGGGAGTACTCATGATTCTCTAATGATCACTGTCCTGAAATACCATTGGTACGCTAGCTAATCTATCTTTCCCTTTTTCAGGTTAATCAGTCTTCTCAACTTTTCAGGATTTGGAGATCCGATCTTAATGTTTCGTTGAGGATCCAACTGGATATCGGGTGGTGGAATAGCAGCTGGAGGCCAGTTGTACTATTTCGCCCATCGTTACAGTCATCCGCCCTGAGTGAATCGCAGACACATCTCTTTACGTTATAACCCCACTGATCATTGACCAGTTATAATGAAACTGCTCAACTGAATAATATGTTGTAGCTTAAAACCAAGAAAGAAAACGTGGTGGGACTGTAAAGAATAGGTCAGATGGTTATGTGATTATCTTGATACGACTACAGACAATAAATGGTACTTGAAACATCATTGTCTTTTATGTCAAATGATATAATGTAATATGGAATTACACTCGACTACACTACTCCTGCTGCTCAAGTTATATGTCTACATTCTTATGCTTAAACCTCTTATAGATTGGATATATCAGTTAACTCTGTGTGTTTTCTGTTTAACTACCAAGTTTAACACTTTTTTAAATTGGAAGTAGAGACTCACAAGTGTTTGTGTGTGAGAGAGATTGACAGATAGATAGAAACTCTCAAATTAACCTGGTTCATCTTTTCCTGAAAGCACATGATAACAGATACTAGGCATGAAAATCAATTAATCTATAGTAATAAACTTTATAGGGATGTGTCATGCAGCAAGTGTGATAATCTTTCCTGAAGAAATAAAATCATTAATAAGCTGCTGAGGTAGGTCGTTTAAAAAACTGATGACAAGATAATTGCTAAGCTATTCGATAATTTCTTCTCATCTGCTTCATTTATCACTGTAGGTTGATAGAGGTGACATATCGTTTACATTACCCACCCAGCGATAAATGTCACTTTCAGGCATTATTATTATTAGTGGTCGTATTGATTATGCCTTACGACTTTGTAATCTAAAGTCTTATCAAGTAAAATTCGGGGTTGCTGAAAAAGTGATGTCATGCTAGCAGGAGCAACAATCACAGGATAGCGCTGTTTCCAGTTAAAACTTAATTGGAAATAAAGAAAAATTTAATTTCCACTTTATATTGACAACTGTCAGTCTAAAGCTGAAAACACTAAGAGTGGTTCCAGCACGTTCCTCCGATATCATGCAGTAATCTTGATACATACTTACAGTAAGATTGCAGAAAACATTCATAACTCAGAATGAGAACGCCAATGGATTGATATTTTCTTCACTGAAATTGTCACCGCTGACTTTATAAATAGATTACTGTTGAGGATGTCATTAGGCCTGATGATAAAACTTCCCAAATCAAAGATGGAAGAACATGAAATATTTAGCATGCTGTTAACTGTGTAGGTAGTCACTCAACAATGTATATAAAGTGATGACAAATCAGTGTATGAGACTGTATTTCTAATCCACTTCAACATAACCCTCTCACTATCACCTATACGTAAGGATAGAACAGGCTACGAAAATTCGTTCGTTTATGTCGACACTTATACATCTAAAGACATTAGTGGATAAGATAGTGACAACAACTGATCAAAGTGTTGGAAAAAAATAATGTTTTTTCAAAAGTCTAAGAGATTTGTTGAATCATCGTTTGTAACTGAAATGAAAGCTGAAATTGACGAAATGGGCAAAGCATCTGAAGCTTCAATACTCAGTTGTTTTACAGCTGTCATTTAGAGTCTGAAGCAATTCAGCTCGTGGTGAAAATATTAGATTAGAAAACAGTTATGAGAGACTTCAGTAGATTTTGCGAGTATATTTGCACGGTGATATCCAATATGGACTGACATCAGTGGAGGGACACTGGAAACCTGGGAGCGCTAGCTAACTGTTTCGTCCTGGTATGGGACTCCTCAGAAATGCGCCCTCATGACTCTGCCCACCAGGGATCGAACCCTGGACCTTCAGGTTCCGCAGCCAGCACGTTATCAATGAGCCGCTGGGTCGAAGTTCAGTGGTCCATATTCCCTCCTTCTACCAGTTCACGATATAACGTGACCTTCATCCAATGCCGTCGTTGAATAACTGTCTTCATGTTCGACTCGGTTGGCCCGACTGGTCACAACTTCTAGACGGAACTTCGGGAATCACATCTCGAAGCTAGTCACCAATGAGCGCCAGATAAATTCAATTTGGAGGTGTTGTGGGGACTTCTTGATTTCAGATTCGTATTTATGATTGCGTCTCACAGTTTATTTTATGTAAATTGATGATTGTAGGAATGTCAGCGTACAAGTTAGTGTCGAAATAAGTCATGACATCAGTGCAAAGCGGTCCAGGTTGCCACATGTCGTATCACCAGATCAAGACTATAAAACACCATTAGGAAAGACAGAAATAGGGAGAAAATGTAGCCAAATGGTGTAGAAAAACTATAAGAAAAGAATTGGGTAAAATAATCAACGAAATATGACAATAACAGTTAGGATAGAAGTGAGGTTTGGATACATCTGCGGTACTGAACATGATTCATACTATCTAGAATTTTGAGTCATTGTTACTAGGTGTCGTGTGGATTCCAAACTGGAAGCTCATACTTTTCTACTTGACCAACAGCCACGAACTTAATGGACTGATGCAACGTTTTAATGAGTATTGAATCTCTCTACACACACGATGAACTAACCTTCTAGACAAGTTAAACATATGAATACAACACAGTATGTTAGTTTCTAATAAACCCAGATAATCGAAATTAATTTAAAAAGCAAGTTGGTATTCATCGTAGACTGACATCAGTTGGAGGAAAAAAGCCAATACAATGGGATTTGTCATTAGAATAATTCAGAAAAGGTTAAACATAAGGGGATTTAGAGTCTTATTGAATTTTTTTTAAAGTTTCACCATCTGAACACTTAATTCGGTATTCAGTGACTTCACAATATCTTTCTATGCGTCGAAGGATTTCATCGAAAAAAAAAGAATATCCTGATCATCAGCCACACCTACTGTATGAGGACTAGTGATACTACGTGTCTACTTAAACCTCAGTGGGCGGAGGTGGGTTCGAACCCGTGACCCAGTGTTTGATAGTCATCTCCCTAAACCACTGAGCCACGCTCCGCTTACTACAAGTTGGGCATATATTGTTCAAATCCCTTTGGTGTTTCTCCTGTTTTTAAGGCCCATCACTTAAAAAAGAATAAAATCGTATACTCAGTCTTGCTTCAGTTACTTCGAAAAGCTTCAATTCAATAATATTCATCGAAACTATTTGTAATTTTATTGATATTCTATTCCTGGAGCAATGAATTATTTACTACTCGTATACTGTACATCTAACATATCCTCAGTTTCTAAACAGCAACTACACATGAAAGTATGAAAAGCCAAGTTAGTAATTTCTCAAAATAATTGCCTAACTCCCATAGATTTCTGTGTGTACTGGCTTACAAATTTAATGCTTTACAGACTACTACCACTTGTGTACAGATTTGCTTTCGTGATGATAACAAAACTCTCTTCAAGTCATACTTAACAGGTTTTAGGAATATAACTTTCATTGCCATGCTAGATTTGGTTAGGATCAATGAGAATAGCGGAAGGTGATTGTGCAACTTTTTTGTTTGTAATGATATGAAACATGTACGAGAGTTGTTTGACAAGCTAAACGAGGTTGATCCTAACATCAAATTTACGATGGGATGTGGGTATGGAAACAAGTTCGGTTTTCTGGACCTCATCGTAAGGAAAAGAATTGAAGGTAAGATTGAAAACACCATCCGTAGAAAAGACACATGGATTGGACAATAACTTAACTATAACATTATCTATCCTGCCAGCTATAAGCGTGAGCTAGTCAAAACACTTTACAACAGAGCTAGGAAATTATTCTGCAAACAAGTTAGAAGAAATAAACTTTATTGAATAGAGTCTGTGAGAGAATGGATATCCTAAGAGACTGATTATGAAGTATGTAAAAGAGGTGGAGAGAAATAAACATTCAACTATGGCATTTCGATCGTCGCTGGGGTGAGGGGTGGTCTTTAACGACGCCCTCAGTGAATCTGATTAGAACGACGGCGGCCATTCTGTTTTTAGCATGAAAGTGGAAGATTATCCTACAGAAGACATAGGACATGCGCTACGAGTAGCTAAGGGAAATTCGTAAATAGCTAGTGCTATATTACGGGGATACTGTACGAGGGAAAGAAACAAAACAATAAAATGAAAAAAATTGAGATAATACGAGACTTTTATTAAGTGATAACGACAGATGTAGCATTGCATGCTTTTCAGTATGAAAATTATAATGCGATGATCAAGTTATCCAATATGTAGTTTCAGTTTCTGGATGTTCAAATATTAGAAGCACAACACCATAAGGACAAATGCTCACAGTAAAAACACAAAAAAAACTTGGGGACATTGACATGACGCATGTATTTAATAGAAGAAAAATCAGAAATCATACAGATAAAGAGTACCAAGTTAATAGTTCTCACGTTGTTTCACTTAAGACCTGTTGTTCGATGCATTTGAAGCAGTCTGGCGGGCTGCAAATAATCCAGCCTCCATTGCCCTGTTCCTCACCAACGGATCGGATACGACACCATGAGCAAACTCTTCTTTAGCCTTTCCAAAACTAGCACCTGTGCTCCGATATATACGATGTACCTGAAAAACATTATTATTTAAACGATAGTAAGTCGAATCCAAAAGATGAGTAGTAAGAGGTTTCGCTACAAAATGAATTCAAGTAGTTTGCATCTACTTTGAAAGAGGCATGGAAAATGATCTGCATTCGTGATTTATTGTGTAAATAAAGAATTGCACATATAAAAAGTAACTTATATTGAACAATCACAACAATTGTGAAAATAAAAGACTCTATTTTCACTAAAACCGTCCAACAGGACAATATTTCTCAGTGTGAACTACTTTTTCATTCATACATAACTTTACCTTGGATTTTCTTGCTAGAGTTGATCTTTTCAATTAATTACTGGATGATCCATAGAACATTCGGAAAAATTCCCATCAAAGACACAGCTTTCACTTTCTTGACCTTAGTGAAGACTCTGTATTGTCATAGGAACTGCTACTAAACCTACGCTTTGGGGTAGGTTATTTCCTCAAATAAATGAATACTTGGTACTCATGTTGGCCTTAAAAATACTCTAAAAAGCACGCGACTGAAGTTATCAGGATCACTAAGAGGATGCATATGCCTGCTGACTTAGCGAATATATAGTCTGAAATAAATCACACTGTTTTGCACTATATGAACTTCATAATTTGAATTGAAGCAATGAGACTTCGGATGTTACTATATAAAAGGTTGAAACAAAAGCTTACGTGTATAAGGTACCACCCTGATGCTGTCGTAACAGCTGTGAAAAAGCATGCGACCAGTAACGTGATAACACCAATTACTGGAGTTTGTTTAACCACCGCCAAACCCGTGATCCATCCACTACAAAAGAGAATAATTTATAAACAAACATGTTCAGTAATATAGCTTTTCAGGGCGAGGTATTCATCAATAAAGGTAAGAGGTTCAGAGCTATAAACACTGAATATATGGCGAATAAACCAAGCAAAAAGACATGGCGTAGATTAAAACTGAGTTATGAGTACTGTCCACTACTGTCGAAATTCAAAAGGCATCTGTGTAGCGGTATAAATAGATAGGGAGATAAAGCCTTTTTAATCAGGATACAAGCTACTAGGTTTTGGATAGATGAATTAGAACACTCACCATGAACCCCAGTTTAAAATTCCAATTGATTGAATGATCATCACCAAGACTTGAACACCGAAAACAATGAAAAATATGAAGAAATTGATTGAACTATTGCTTCTGTGTAAAGTAAAATAAAAAATGGCGGGATTTACCACTTTGAATAGCTTCCAACGAAAGGGACATAAAATATATTTACACGAGATATTCAAAAGTGATTATAGTTTAGTGAATTTGCCTGCACCCACCAAACTTTTTGACTGTGCATCATATTGATACGACTGAATATATTTCCAACTGAGAAGCTTAGAAAAGATAAATTTCATCAATCAGTACTAATTTTAGAAGGCGAACATCAAAGGCACAAATTATTGGCGTATCATCTATGACACGGGAATGATATGCAGCTTAAGCAGACATTGATATTACTTACTATTATCTAAATTCATTTCAATGGGAAATGTTAACAGCTGTTACCCGGTTAAGTGACTAAGTACTAGTTGACAAAAACAGATTTACTCTCCCTCCAAGGTATCTCCCATTAATTGGGCAATTCTAAGTTTGCGTTTATAAATTCTTATATCCTGACAAAACTATTTTTAATCAGAATAAGCTACAATAAGATCTAAAAAAGCTTGGAAAGCGTAACCGAGCATACATTTCGTTATAATGATTCTTGGACACCATAGTGAAGAGACAGAAGACGAACACGAGGGAAAGAATGTTTATTGTGTAAAATTGGAACGGTAGTCGTTACATACGGTACACCTTGCACGAACCCAGTCATCTGCAAATGTCTTTGTTTCCTCTTCTGTTCCTGTCTTGATTTGCTCTTCATACATTCTTATCAGCATCATCCACTGTAATGCGCATGCGTTATCTCTTGAGTTGCTCTTGCCAGAAACCTTACCCGTTGCTGGTAATTCCCTGATTCCTGCCACCTTCTCAACTTATACTGCTTATATCCTTTGTTATCAGCAACGCCCACTACAATAGTACTATACGCGACTCCTATTTCAGTTGATGTAACACAGGTAGGTAAGGATTCAGCATGCGTAACCTAGCACATGGGTATCTCAGGTGAACTTTCCTAAAGCTGAATTCACTTCCTTTCGGTAAATCCCACACAAAAAAACATCCGCTCGATAATCCAACACTACCGAAGGACCAATGATTTGTAATCCGTAAACTTTGCATGGCGAAGCAGGCAGTGCAATCAAAAGTGAAACAGAGCACTCTACTGTTTTTTCCATTGTAACTACTACAGGTGATATAGTTGACAGAAGTCAAATGAGGTTTTTATGCCTATGCTGAGATTAAATTTCGTCTACGACCAGATAGTGGCTACCTGGAGTTCGTGGTTGCAGCGATATGCTGGATTCACCTCGAATAGAGAAAGCCCGTTTTGGTATTTGCCGAATTGCGTCATTTGTGGCAGCGACTGGCGAGATATCCGACTACCTATCTATCAAAGGACAAGTATACTGCGCTGCAGTCTGTTCTGTCCTGTTATATAGCTATGAGACATGGCCTTCAAAAGTAGGTGTGAAGCAATTACATGGTTTTGATCACAGATATCTTCGTAGCACTATTGCGTTTGGTGGAGTCACCGTGTGAGTAATGTTGAGGTCAGATGAAGGGTACTAGGGAAGACAGGAAAGCCGATTAACGGGGTCACGAACCTTAGTCGACTGAGATGGCTTGGATATGTACTGCGCATGACGAGCCACCTTCTACCTTGACGTGCTATGCCAGGGGATGTTGGATTAGGATGGAAAAGGGTTTAAGGTGGCCAGATCAAGACGAGGTACTAGTATGTGACTGTTGTTTTGAGCCATGTAGAGAGACATACACTGCCTGGTTGGGGTCCCCAAGACGAAAGGGATCAGTGGTTGACTCTTGGTAACATGGCTGAAAATTGGTCACAATGGCGTAGATATATTCACTCCCTGATTGACGTCTTCTAAAGCTTGAATACTTACACTAAACTTTATCTTCAGACTGTTTATTGTCTCACGCAACTTTGCCTACTTTGATGTCACTGCTTTTCTATAAAACTTTTCTTTGTGTACTTCTGTGAGGTGTGGCAACTTGAGCCGATGCACTCTTGTGAGGTCCTACGATGATTGTCTGTTTTTCTGTCTGTCTGAAGGACTGACTCCTACGTCTTAGCCAGGTTCAGACTGGATGTTAGATGAATAAAGCATTGTTGAAGGCCAGTTGAACTGTGCTTTAAAGTGTTCTACCCAACCTTGTCCTGGGAGGTTATCAGTGTTCCATCGTTTTCCGTTTTCACTCACCAACGTCTTCTACTTGCCGGTATCTTTAATAAGCCCAAATAGTTATCGAGTGTTACCCAATGCTGATGCCTTCTCCATTTCTCTCTCCGTCCACCACAACTCACGATTGGCGCGAAGACTCTTGGTCAATTTATATTTGCATTGCTCTGTTCTTCCTCGTCATCAGAGCCAGGTGGAATCAGTTATCTCACATCAATCAGTTTGGATGATGTCGCGGAAATCCAACGACGTTTTCCAACCTTCGAGTATATGTTACCAACTGCTTTTACCGCTGTTTCTACAGAGGACTTAATATCACGCCAGGTTTTATCAGAACGAGTATTGCTATCAAATTCAGATAAATGATTAGCTAACTCCTCCCTAAATACGTATTTGGTATCTCTGTCTTCCGACTGAGCATAGGCAAGCTTTACCATCGCCTGTTTCCTGTGACTGGTAAGGCACATACTTGCGCATGGTCAGAGTCCAAACTGGTACTTCAGAAAGAGCGGCAATCTTCTCCAACGATAGGTTATAGCAACATGATCTACGTGTCCATCGTCGGTTTGAAGTCGGTGGACGCCATGTGAAAGTTTCTTTCCTTATGCTTAAAGTTAGTCCTGGCAAGATACAAATGATTGTCGGAAAAAATTTGCAACAGACGATCCCAGTTGTCATAGGATCCCGTAAATATCTCCAAGATGCCTTTCCAATTGGCTAAGCTTCCCTATTTGAGCGTTGAAGTCACCTGCTATTATAACTGCGTCTGAATGTTTTGATTTCTGTAGCAAAGTTGACAGCCTCTCATAAAATTCATCTTTTGTACCGAAATGCAGTCGGCGGGTGCGTAAGCGGATCACGAATAGGCATCGCCTAGTCTCACGATCCTTCCTAGTTCTGACAGATCTATTCAGTCAAATAGCACAAAGACGGCTGTTAACTGGTATTCAGTTGAAAAGTGCACTTTCTGTCCTACAGCTCAATGCTGTGCCTACAACAGCGAGTCCACCCACACCTAGCTACTGGGTCTCCAGATACTCGTAAAATGAATTTTGAAGATTCAATACTACGGTCAAATAAGTTCAGTTTAATGACTCGGATCCTGTATACCCGTCTCAGAGATACAGCATACATCTATGACTAGAGATTCCAGAGTTCTGGTAACCGATGCTTGCTGTCCGATTTGGCATAGAGTTTGGACGTTGAAAGCTCCTACGTGAACTAAATGACGGGGTTTTAAGAGACAAAAAATAAGGTTTCGACGTCTCTGATTGTTTGCAATAGTCGCAAAACGAGAGGTTAAGAAAAGTGTAAGAGGCTTGATACTAATATCAGAAGGTGAAGGCAGAGGAGGGTAGGTTATGCTTGATTGGGTATTGTGTACCACTGGGAGCGTGCGGGAGGTTGACACATCCCAGTTGCCCACACCTTGGAAGGTTAATTCTCTCAAGGGTACCTGGAAGAGAAAAAGATTTGTGATCGCAGAGCCTATAAAACATCTACTTGAGGCCTGTCACATAGTCTTTTGAGGGTTGTTGTTTTGAGGTTTGCTTGTTGTAATGCCAGACGGGAAATCCTTACCTTCAGTACCGGAAGACCCCCTGTTCCTATTGGGAAGGCAGCATCTGTGTCACTGTTGCCCACCCAAGGGAAACATCTTACTGCTGTAACTTCCCTGTCTAGTCAGCAGTACGACTTCGCCATCAGACCCCCATCATAGCATAGCAATTTATACTATAATGGTAACTGCTTCTTGTGTACCCATTATCCGACAGAACTTTCTGGTATGGTAGGACCTCGAGGGAACAAGCGTTCTAATCAGTGTAACTCGTCGAGTCATTGTGATATGCAAGCCCGACCACCAGATCAAGGTAGCAACTATCGGTTGTTGTAATACTGGATGAACAGGGAATATGAAGACAGTAAGTTGTCTTTGTAGGCCAACCAGCGTAAAAGATGTGTTGCCTTTTCAACCCTAGAAGAAGGGATAGAAAAGGCGAGCACGAAAACTGCATTGTGCATTCTATTTCTTTTGACTGTCAGAGGTTAGTACAGATGTAAATCTGCAGATTGCAACAACCATAAAGGTTTTGTGATTGATTCGAATTATACTCCCCTCGAACTGTACCGTCAGGCAGGATTACGCCACTTTCCCCTTTACATACTTTGAGAAAACAATAGCTTAACGATGGAGATAAGAAAGAAGTAAAAAGCGTCTACAAGTTACCAATGGCATACAAAACTCATTTAAGCCTTAATGAATTTACACCTTCTTCTTACCCACTTCTGCTTCTAGTTAATAAGATTACGCAACTTTTGATCTCAATTTCTTACTTGGAGACTGTTGTTAACAATTTTAACCAGCTAAATACTGTTTTCAGTCTCCTATAGCCTAGGTGTCGATTTCGCATCGAGGATTTCAAAGTAAGAACTCAATGGCACGTCAGACAACAGGTCTCACTAGCTACGATTCTGGTATATCGGGTTGTAGATGTATATTATTTCTGAGAAACAGATGGGATTCAAGCATAGTTATTCACTTAACCTTACCTGCCCAATGGGTTTCTTTTGTAGAATTCAACATGCAATCTCAGGGAAACTCAGTGAATAGTTTTTGTAGATTTATTGGTGTAGGAGTGGCATCGAGTCCTGGAGTGGAAAGCGAACTAAACTGGGTACTAGTACGCTGTATCTGTAATAACTAGGACGCATTGTGACGTTCAGTAATACTTATTTGTAGCTTTGCCTACGCAGCCACCGATTGAGAAGCTAGGGCGAATTAAAGCATTAGTTTTAACCCAAACTCAATTTTGCAGCAAGAGGCATGAGATTCAGATATAACTGTACTAAGGGGTGACCGCCACACCTAAACAGGGAAGCTGAGCCAATTAGAATGAAATCCTGAGTGTATTAATGAAATCCTATGCCGATCAATTGACAAGTCATTATAATCCATAGTTCAGCCCTGACAATTGCTTGTTTTTGACCAGCATCAACTCCAAATATACGCGAAGTTAGTCTCGTTTGACATCATCAAGCTAATGGTGCATACGAACAAGCCATGCCATTATATTCCATCGTCTAATGATTCTCCTTCATTTTGAGTAACCTGCATGAACTCCGATGATGTTCGTGCTTGAATGCATAGACAAAATAGGTAATGGCCAGGCATTTTGTTGAAAGACGAGGATATCAAGAGTACATTTCGAAAGGTGTTTAAGCCTTTATCTGAATATAGCAGCAATTTTTAGCTGGGAAAAGCCTAGTATAATATTCAGTCTGCCAGAGAAACCAACAAGTAAAGATTAGTATCGGCGTTAGACAAACGCTTTCCAATTACCTTTGATTACGATGGGTAGCTGAGGCAGCTTATGTGAACTGAGTAAGGACGTTATTTTATTTATTTATGCAGTTCAACCCGACACATGTTTGTGTACTAGACTACAAGCTATACTTTTGTGAGGGCTTATCTGCTCAGGTGGGATGGCATTTGAACCCACAGCCTATTGTTTGGAAAAGTCAAGTGTTCAAGCCAATGAGTCGCACGCCCACCAATGACATCAATCGAGACTGATTCCAGGAAGAAGTAGTATGCGAACCAGAGGTAGTCGTGGAAGGTTTGCCTATCAGTTAAGTTTATACCGGTAGAGGCCAACGTAGAGCTACATTTGTCCCGTTTCAAAGCAGCATGCAAAAATTGCATAGGAAAAGTGACATTGAAGTAGTCAAGTGTGTACGGAAAGAAATTTTTCCATGACGGCCACGGGAGAATCAGTCTGACCAATAGTGTCTGAGGTAACCTGTAGTCATTCGAGACCTGATTGGAAATTCAGAAACCAAGGAAGGTCTGAAATCTGGATGAGTGCACTGATCCGACATTCAGCACTGTTAACACGCATACTTACTGGTACCTGACACTTGCCATATTTTTTTATTTGAAAGTTGCATTTGTTTTGTGGCAGCGTCTGATTGTGACTGGAGTGCTAAGCAAGGGTATTTCGCGAACCGGGATACACTGACAGAGCTGTTATCTATTGGCTTAAGCATTCAACTTTCAGCCAATGGATTCTGGGTTCGAATTCCACCGTGTTTTCTTTGGTATAGGCGACAGAGTAGCATAAGGAGTTCTCACATGTGTGGCTCATACTGTCGTGCACAAATATGTACAAGGTCGAGTCACATAAATTTCAATTTAACTGCTTGATCTCATGCAAGGGTATGAACGTTTACGAAAAATTTGTTATCGGAGGTAACAAAAATCAGTTGCATCTGTAAAGGATATCCACTTTTACCGCTCTTATTTCGCTTCTTTTACAGATACGATTTTAAGTATCTTTGAATTCTTAGTGATTGACTAACTGTTATAAGACTGCCTGTTGGATGCACACAGTAAAGTCCCGTTAATCGAAGACGCTGATAAAATGAAGTCTTCTGAACGCTTTAACCGAAAACCTGAATATCTTCGGCATGCGTTTCGTACATGCCAAATATAAGATGATGCTTCAGGATACGTAAACACAGGCTTTCAGATAGAATTAGTGAAATGCATTATTCATTTCACTTGGGAAATATCATTGACCCTAAAGTACTGGTTGTTGATGAAATTCCAGATCGGATAATAAAGGTTTGTTTGAAACTCACTAACCCATGGTCACCTCTGGTGCGGGTGACATACTCGACTACTTACGAAAGGGGTAGTGTCCAGAAGTCGGTTTTTTTCTGTAGTACAGTTGACATAAACGCTGAAAATAGAAACGTTGGGGAGGCTACATGTTTTGATCATAAGCATCTTTCTTAGTGTCTATCGTATGAAATGGGACCACAGAATGAATGATATGAAGGTGGACATACAGTACTGTGTAAGAAAGGCAGATCAATCGACCAGGTTACCAACCATCACGGGCCTAGGTGGCTTGGATATTCGTTTCGTATGCTGAGCCACTGCCTACTCAAATGTATTATATTAGCAGATAGATGGACAGAAGTCAACAGGGAACTACTGTGCTAGGCGACGCATATTCGAATTTCTGAGAGGACATCACTTTCTTTGAGGCTGCAGATACACCTTGCTGACAAGTGTCGAGTGAAAATGTTCAAGCTTTTGAAGATATTAAAGAATGTGTGCTAGTACGACTGGTTTTCAGCTGTCATCAAGGGTCTCCAACCATTGATTCAAGTTATCTCAAGAAACCCAACCGACCACCCTACACAACTCAGGCTGACGACCAGACTTTATGAACTTGTGACCACATAGCCTTTTTTAAACTCGATCCTACATTGGCCAACATTGGACGTCGAGGTAGACGATGGCTCGGAATGTATGACAACACATGACCCAGTCACTTGAGGTAGAGATTCACAACTTCGTGGACTGATTAGCCTTCCTTGTCTAGTATCCTTCACCTAACCATGATATTGTTTGCACGGTGATCTCAGCGGTGTAAGTAACGCTACAACAACTGCGGTCAAAAACATGTAATTATTTCATACTGCTTACTTTCAACGGTCATGTCTCAGCCGGAATTACAGTTAGACTGGACTGTAGCGTAGTACACTCATCCTCTAACAGTTCGATACCCTGCTAGCACCAGAAATGACCTGGGTTGACAAACACCAAGCCGGCTTTTTATGTACGAGGTGAGATTTTATCAACTAACCCACTGAGGCTGATGCGGCTTAGCAGCAACGCATTTTACCGGTCACGCCAATGTGTTAGGCTATGAGTCAATCTTCTATTTTTACTGTCATGTGGACCCTGACATACAAATCTACATTTTCCTGCACAGTTCAGAATAACAGCGAAACATTAGGAATTGATACCATATTTTAGTCTTGAGCATTTTGCAACCTAACATCAGGTAACACACAGCAGCTAGTAGATGGTTGTTATGCATGTGTAGCACGTCCCAGTTATGTAAAGCAATAGTTTACTAACTCATAAACTGACCTCTTACCTGAGACAACAAAACCTTTACACTACTTACGTGGTGGTTCAAAAAACAAAATGAAAGTGTAAAGTAACTGCTAATATAAGAAGACTTACCGAAAGGCTTTGTATAACGGTCTGAACCAACACACATACGAAGATGGAATACAAACTATGCACACGAGTATAGCAACACCAAACAAACTTCCACCAGAAGCTTGAGAAGTGCCAGCAAAATATATCAATGCTGTTAACAAGTTAACCAACAGCAAACAAGCATAAGACAACCATAAGTAATATCCAAACTTTACGATTCTTTTATATTCAGGGATTATTTCTGTCTCAATGTTTTGATAAAAGCATGGGGCACAAGGGCAAAATGATGGTAACGGAGGCCAGTTCTTCGCTGCGACTCCTACAGATAAAAAAACATTTTTTCATAGACTTAAAGTTACTACTACAGAAAAAAGAGAATTTCCATGTAAACCAATAAGAGAAAAGTTAATTAGGAAAAATGTTGGTTAAAAATTCGAAATGTTTGACTATTAGATGCTGTTGTTGTACAGTGTCGCTGGAGTCTTAAAATTATCGATGAGAATGTGATAATTAACTGCTGATTGCCTACGTGTTACCCGATAAAAGTTTACAGTCACATTACTCAAGTCACAACTGTACACATAACTATCTTAAGATGCACCTTTATACTTGCCCAGTTGGGCTTTTGGAGGTGGTCACTGTATCTCAGAGTTGCAGTCGGGCAGAAATTGCCTGTCGTTCATTATACTAGTCACACACAGCATCACTATCTGTATGTACATAAAAAGTATTTCACTTTTAATCGAATCAAGAGGATAAGATGTAACCTGTGCTAACCTAGAAGTCGAGACACACGTTTATTTTTCTGAAATACCTCAACACAAATATCTTTTGAAAGCACTGTAATTAAGTCTTCCGAAAATAATGAAAAAAGACGACAACCGGCCTTATCGAAAATTGAAAACAAAGTGGACTTTTTTTCACATAAGTGAACCACCACTCAAGAAATATCCATTCTAACCCAGTCAGCGGCAGCTGTGTTGGGCATGTTGCGAGAAGCTTTCTTTCTGCAGAAGAACTAACCAAAGAGAGATAAAACTAGGAGCAACGCAGAAATACTATTTGTTTTCGTGTGATGATAGCACTAGTTGCATTATAGTGTGGAAGAAAGGTGTTTTCCAGGGACTTTTCGGGGGCGAAATGAGTTGACTTTTCTTTTATCGAGGTTATCACAATAGGGAATAGTGCAAAGAAAGTTCATATTTTCCTTTTTCAGGTGATAAAAATTACATCATTTGTCACCCCGATACATAACTTTCAGTCACCCAGAACTTTAACACCGTCTAAGTTTCGCCAGTTCACAATCGAATCTCTCATTAGCTGTTTTTTAATTTGCCAGATCCTGCCAACCCTTATCTTAAACCTAAGAAGCTGGCACTGACAAAACAACTAGTGAAAGAGCATCTCAATACTTAGGTACGAATTCCAAAAAACATTTTTGTACCCCAAAGCTTTACAAAACCGAAAAAGCTGATTGCAGATAGGAAAATAGGCAGTAAACATGCTGAATGTTATTCGTAGTATAGGCAAATATTATATTTGTGGACACACCCCATTCATCGTTTACTGTTCTGAGAAACATGACTATTACCCACTCCGTCAAACTGAATTAGCTGTAGCGCCGATTTGAGAGGACACACAGACAATAAGCCTGGAGCACAGAAAGTTTGATATCAGGCGCACCTTTCGTTCCCTGAGTTTTTAAACTCTGGAATGCTCTTCCTGCATATATGGTCTAGGTTATTCTATTTGAATTTTCTAAACTCCGGTTTGATACTTATTTGAGATGTGGGTGCAACTTGCTCAGATCTAATTGAATTTCTACATTTTAACCGCTACGTTTCGCTCTTTATTTGTATATAGATTAACAACCACAAAAAGTAGTGGTCCACGAATTCTAGACGCGGAAACCAGTTAAGTGAAGGCTTTTAACGCGTTAACAACCACTAGAACTTACAGGTGAACGAATAGCCGAAGGCCTGGGAGATGTGCTACTGAACCCTGATCGAAATTCAAGTAGAAATCGAAGAAATGATTAATTTTCAAATACAGGGGATCAATATGCACTACTATTTATATCTGCAATCTCCATCTATGCGCCAGTGTGATGCGAAGTCAAGGGTGGATTAAATAAATTTATTTAAATTCTACATATTCCTAAACAAATTCTGTACAGATATACTGTGGCCATTAATACAACTACTTTGACGACGATGTTCAGCGCTGTTGACCACTTGTATTTCATATTGAATGGTTTCAGCAGTTCCCTTCACATCAGTCAGGAAAGTGCCTTAAAACATACATCCTGATAGATACAAGTCATTTGATTCACGAGCTATCTTTCCACCACAAATTTTGAAGACCAATAGTTATGGCTGAGCTATAAAGCATGGGACAAAATCTAACCTACCTTCTTGGGAAACAAATCGACTTTGCTCTTTTATTCGTTGTTCTTCTTCTCTACGTGCTAGTTCAGCAGCTTTTGCATCCAGTTCTCTTTGACGACGTTCAAGCTCTGCCGTTGTAATTTTCTGTGCCTGAACAGCAGAGTATGGTGATGGTGCCATGAAGCTGGATGGATGACCATCCTGCTGAATATTTCCCGAGGTCTCGAAAGGATTATACTTATCCAATGCACCTGTATCAATGTGAGAGACTTGAGTGCTTTCAGTATCACGTAACTGAGTCTAGTAAACACAATTAAAACATATCACAGCAGAACAAACCGATGGCAACTTAGTGACAGGATCTGCAAACGGGTTCTCCATTAGTGACATACTACAAAGTAAGCACAAAATAGCGCTTATATTAAAATGGTTTCAATTGTACAATACTTTGGCATTCATTTGACAGGAGAGTAATCTAGTTTTTCTGTGTTAATCCTGGCAGGCAATATCTCTGTGAAAATCTTGCTTCTTCTTGAACTTGTTCACCAGGAGAGCTGATGTCATTTACTAAGGTAAGGATGTGCAGTCACTGAGATCTCGGTTACAGAAACACTTGTCCGCGATAAGTTGATACATTCATAGTTCTTGACTTGTCCTACGGTCACTTCTTGATAGCCATTTCCAACTGTAGAGGAAAATCAGGCATTTCAGTGGTGAAGTTAATGCTAAAGATGCGGAATGAGAGTACAAGATCTTGTAGCGTCATACACTTCCCCAAAATCAATAGCCTAGGGTTTGACGACTTCGACATTGATGCTGACCTTGATAGTTTAACTGGACTCGCTAAGCTGAAGGCATCCGGTCAAGCATCCTTGCCATTTGGCACGCTGTCGTGTTACGTTGCATTGCTCGTATTCGACTCTCTAGCCAGTTAGTTGGAACGCATCGGTATTTTGGCATAACCATCCAAATATACTATTCCATCCGACTACGCTATCGTGTTCTTCCTTGGTCTCGTATTCGTGGGTATATAACAAGTTCGAATAATTAGTGATTGGTCTTTGCGTCTGTCAAGTTCGCACCAGGACAAATCCTAAAATCTTTAAGATAAGAAATCGAGGATAAATTCACTCTGCCTAATCTTTCCCCATATGGCGGATTGGAAACGCCTGTTACCTATCCTTTGAACATGCTAAAGTACATTGGCGTCCCTTCTAGGTATAAACTGGCTATGTGGACACAGTACTCTAATTTAGGTCTTATATGTGTAAAAAAAATTGTATAATGAACATATCCTGATCAAGACTTTTAAAAGCTCTGAGTGTGGACCATAGCTCACGGAAACCTATTTCGGCCTTATCGCGGCATACAAGTGCGTACGTACCATGACTTATGACAATAACGAAGTTTCGTATTCCTCAGACTTTAGTCTAGGTGGTGGATCATCAACAGAATGCTCGAAGTAATTACTACGAACAATATACCTTACTGCACTTCTGCCTGAGTTAACTTCTGGGCAATGGCGTTCGCACCAATCGAGAAGTGCATATAAATTCTTCTGAAGCGCATATCCATAACTTTCATCCCGTATAACTCCCCATACCTTCACCATATCGTCGAACAAGAGCATGGATCAGTTGAGCACTCGTTGAGTTTTACCGGCGTGTAGCGGGAAAAGGGTGGGCTCAGGACTTTCCCTTGAAAAACCCCACTCACTGCACGTTTTCACCGGATTCTGTCCTATGAACCCTGGCTATTTCCCTGCTACCCCATAGAAAGCCCCCAATCCATGCCCTCGCTGTGGACAGCCCTCCTGATAATTTTACAAGAGACACTTTGTCGAACGCCTTACTGAAATCTTTGAGATCACCTCTAATGGCAAGTTTCCCTACGGGCTGCAACTCGGTGCTCTCTAGTGTTCAGGAAGTTTGTTTAACAGGAGTGTCTTGCCTGCAAACCACATTGCTGTGGGGTCAAAAGATAATTTGGTTCAACATGGTCAAGCACCTTATCAAGATTTATTTCTTTGAAAGGCCCTGATGAATATTATAGCCGGACCCGCGGGTTGATAGTCAGATACTAGCTGACGATTGCCAGCCTCAAGGCTTTGCTGATTGTGGCACCTTTCCTTTCTCCAGGGTGGTGAGTCTGGGACACGAATATACTAAAGCTGTCAGCAACTGACCCAAGGACAATGTCCGATGGCGAAGGTACAAATTATGGGGTCCAAATCATCGGGGCCAGTGAATTTTCTAGGCCTAGGTTTACTAAGAAACTGAAAGGCTGCTCCCTTTCTTTTGTGTACTGAGCCCAGTGGCGGGGATTTACTCAGACTACCGTTGGTCATTTCATCACCACGAAGGCTTCACTAAAGCATTCCGATAAACGCTCGGCCTTGAAAAGACGAGAATTTGCTGAGAGACCCGACCTCTCAGTTATCCGTCTTCTAAACAGGCAGGAGAGTTTTGACGGCCACCTGGAAGCTGTTTATCTCAAGATATACGGGACCTTGAAATTGAAGTTTGCCTGGATTACGAACCTTACGATGCTCAGTTTTAAATATTTCCCACATTTTTTCGAAAGCAAGTTCCATAAACGTTTCCCTTAACTTGATGTTTTCTAAGTATTCTTATTAAAGTGTGGGGTTAAATATGGAGCAAACCGCATTGTTACACCCTTCGAGTACAGTTATGAACTTAAACCAGGCGTTATTGGTGGTTAAGGCCATATGGCGATTCAGTCTTTACCAGTTACGCGATCCTGTGCACCCCACATAGCCACCACCACACATTGGATTTAGAGGGATGGTGCCTCAACCAAACTCGACATTTCGGAAATAAACAGCTGCTACTTCATGACATCCATTTGTTAGCTGGGAGAAGTGCTGTAGACCCATATTATTCTCACTCTGCTGGGCCAAAAGTAAATTTGACAGAGATGGATTACAATTCCATCTCAGCCCATTTATCAGAAATGTCGGTATTTCACTGCGTAGCATTTCCAGTGAACAGACTAAAGTGGGATTACATTCTACCACGGGGCTGAAGTTTTACCCATATATTGGAGATGGACTGTGTCCAAAGGCGTGATGTGTTGTGCTAGCCACCCCTGGAAATGAAGCAGAGTGCAGTACGGTTAACAGCAGTCCATTTTCGAAGTAGTTGCCTGGGCTAAGACTGTAAACTCCGTCCAGTTTGCGGGTAGGGTGCCCAGATCCATTACCACCAGATATGTTGCTTCCACTTCACTCGTATCATTTGCAAGGCAAGATGCGCTGAGGCAAATGATCCGGGGATAAATGTACTTTGCTCTGAATTTTCCATCAAATTTATCTAATCAAAATCCTTCGCTTCAGTTTGTATGAATCTTTCAAATGCGCCTTTTAAACGCCTCAAGTACTCTTAAAATGGTTTCAAATTACCGTTTTCCAAGCTAACAGCGAAACAAAGAATTGGTGACAATGCGGTAAGAGATGGGTTCACAAATACCAAGAAACACAGTACATTAGTGTTCCCTGGATAGCCATGTGGAATTGCAGATTTGGATACTAGCTAGATAAACCATCACCACGAAAATGTCGCACCGTGTTCTGTTCATTCACCAATCCCAATCAGGCGCTGATGTAATACCAGGCTCCTGTTTTGCATTGTGGCCTTTATTACTGCTATCAATAATACTTTCCAAATGTAATGACTATTATGCTTATTGATGTTTCATAGGGAATGGAGTTATTCAACTATTACGTGACAAGAATTTTATACTGTGCCAAAAAGTGTTATTTGGGGTTAAGCTTTGATTATTATTATTATTGAATTAGGCTCACAAGCGACTGCTTCGTATGCATCTCATTCATTTACTTCTTTAGTGACCGGTTGGATGAGCAGATTAACATGAACATATAGTAGTCTGCCTCCACTCTTACTACTTACACTCATTCCTCCTAGCGCAGGAATAACTCAAAAGGAAGTGAAGTAATGTCTCAATCCTTTATGAGTCAGGTTTCAGTAAATTTGATGACAGTTATGGGATTACACCTCGCATTTGCGACACTAGAGTCCACCTTTCGAAAAAATCTATAACCATTCTTATCTTAGAAACGCTAGTAGAATAACTAATAAACTGCTCTGTTTGCAGCTTCAAAATGGCAAGAGAACCAAACGACTACTGGTTCATGTGTCTGACAAATTGACTGAAAATGCTGTCAAACAAAGTAAAGAGTGTTTATCAGACCCAGAAGACCGATGGTCCGTGTTTGTGCAATATTCACCGCTTATGCTGACCTAGCAGACTTCCTACGCTCACGGTACACAGTTAAGCATCTACGCTACTCGGGGTATTGTTCCGTTGTGCTCTCACGACTCCGTAACCAGCCGGCAGGCGTTATAGTGTGCTGACACGGTGAGTTAAATTTGCGGTTCACATCTGTCTGCTGAATTGTCTGCTTCTTTGGTCTCGCACTGCTCAGCTTCTTAAGAGGATGAAGATCCACCAGCGGGCCCCCCGGTGTTAGCACATCGAATGCAACAACTTAAAAACCGATTGACTCGTTCACCTGTATTTAGGTATCCTTTTCGTTTCTCTCGTTTTTCTTACATTCGTATTTTTATACCCGTTTGCGATGAATCTTCTAGTCATTTACGGTAGAAACCAAGGACGTAACCGATTTCCCACGTTCCACTCCGGTCGGGCAATGCAGCAATGCAGTTTCTTACACCGAAGTTGATTTCAAGAAACACGGCTTTATAAACTCTCGTTCTTAATTCCTTGTCATCGTACGTTCACTTTCTGGCATTGGACACGAATCTAAAGGTATATATATTTACTACTGGCGCGGGCAACCTAGTAACATTTTCAGAACCACTCTGTGGCGGAGAAACGCGGTTATGTATTGCTTAGATGAATATCTCCGCACCACTGACTTGGGGAAAACTAAGCCACCTACATGTTCACACGAATGTTAGAAGCAGTTGGCCCACGAAGGTTAAGTGGTGAGCTTTGCGCTAATTATCTGCGGACGTTGACCCGACAGGTATGGTTGACAGAACATAATGAGTATCTTCAATGTGGACCCCATTAAAGAGAACTGCTTATTATGACACTGAGGCGGAAGAGCTCTCTAGCTCTGGGAAACAGCTTCTATGACCCCAAAGCCCTCCTGTGTGGCACCCATCACAGTATCCCGGCGTTTCACTCCCCACAACGCAATTCGTGTGACTAGTTGGTTACAAAAATCTAGACCGCTGAAAACCAAATATGGTGATACTTGCGCAACACCTATGGTCTGGATTTTAAAAATATCGAAGACCTCAAACTCTTGGCCAGCATCCTTCAACTGTGACCATGGCCATCGAAAGGAGCTGTTTGTTTTAAGCTGCAAATGCAGAGAAGAAGATTCTCTAGCTCATCAACATGAGTAATGAAGC